TGCATTTCTTCGAGAGAGCAGGAAGCAGACAAGAAAACATCACTGCATACTGGATAGCGTCGTATCACAATTGAAGTCATTCGGGCGCTGTTGTGATGCTGCTTTGACGACCCCTACGAAAACGGCAAACGGCTTATTTTAGAACTGAATGCGGGCACGTTGGTCTCGCAAAGCAATATCAAATTCGAATGTCCGTTTTCAGGGACTTCCATCGATGGCAGAGCGATGGTTATGGAAACTGCTTCACCTTTAACTCTGGCTTCCGCTACAAGAAAGTGGGGAGGAAGTGGATGCATCAAACGCCAAACAAGACCAGGTCCTATGGATCCCAGGTAAGGGCAACTATTTCGACTACATACAGAATATATTATATGTGGCTACTATTGTTAGCTGGCCGTCGATACCATCATATAGTGAGGTTACCATTGCCGTCTGGGCTGTCGGAACGTGTGCAACATGCGCCGTGGTGAAGTACACACACACACACACACACACACACACACACACACACACACACACACACACACACACACACACACACACACACACACACACACCACACACACACACACACACACACACACACACACACACACACACACACACACACACACACACACACACACACACACACACACACACACACACACACACACACACACACACACACACACACACACACACACACACACACACACACACACACACACACACACACACACACACACACACACACACACACACACACACACACACACACACACACACACACACACACACACACACACACACACCACACACACACACACACACACACACACACACACACACACACACACACACACACACACACACACACACACACACATATATATATATATATATATATATATATATATATATGTGTGTTTGTGTGTGTGTGTGTGTGTATGGTGAGTGTATGTATGTATGTGTGTATGTATGTGCGTGCACGTAAGAATGCATGAATAAATGAATGTGTGTAGGCCAGTATTACGGCTAGGTTTGCCTTGCATACTTACGCATAAGTCCCTCGCATTCACATACACCTTTTCACTTTGCGTTCTGTATTTTGGCGATGGGCCGGAACAGCCACGTGTACGGTGCGAACCGTCCTGATATGCCTCTGACGTCCGATATGCCACAGATTTTTCTCTGACGTCTGATAGGCCACGAACGGGACGTCATACGAGACCCATGTGTACGCACGGGACGTCATAACATGTGTACGATATGAATCATCCCTCCGTACCTCTGATGTCTGATACGCTACGGCCAGTCCGGTCTGCGCGTGACGCTGAATGTCGACCCGAAACGGTACGCCTCGCTGCTGACGCCGGACGTGGGCGTGCGCGTGCTGATCCACCCGCCCGACCAGCTGCCCTTCCCGGAGGAGAAGGGCTTCAGCGTGCTGCCCGGCCTGACCACCATCGTCGGCATGCGGCGGGTGAGTGGCGCGCGGCAGCGCTGGCCCCGGAGTACCGGCGCTCGCACACAGCTGACACGCGGTTCCAGCGCTGCGACTGTAACGCTGGAATGCACTGTGCATGGTGTAACACTTCCACTGTAGCAGCGTATGCAGACAGGACACTTACACTGCTGACATGCCACTCCGAAACTGTAGGCGTTGCAGTGCGGACACACAGCCCCGTCATTGTAGTGGTGCTGACAGCCCTGACGGCTAGTGAAGCGCCGTCGCCTCACACCAGCGCTGTTGACACACAATGCCAGTGGCGTTACACTGTTGACGCGAAGAAGTTACAATGTAAAGCCGCCAAGCTGATTTTATACTGGAGAACTGCTGACGTGTAGTTTCAGAAGTGTAATTATGCCGGCACGCAGTCACAGTGCTCCAAAGTGACTTTTTCTTCAAAACGCTGTCAGTCAAATACTGACAGTGTTTTCCGGCACCGTAGGCAATAAGCATTTGCAATTTACTCCTGTAGTTTGGAGGGGAAGCTGCATTTGCATTGTGGTCTCGTGCAACACGTCTGACCCACAAGCATGCGGCTGCCACCCCAGAGGAAAGCGTCAGAGACGACACGCTGACGGCGGGTGTCTCCGTTTGCAGAAGCGGATCGATCGCGTGGGACCGCCGCACGGCACGTGCCGCTCCACTGCCGAGTGGGGTGACAAGACCAAATACACGCCCACGGTCCGTCCGTGTGCCGTCGTCCGGCAGCATGCGTGCCATTCACGAAGAGCTTAGATATCGGACGTGTGAAGGGCGCTCACGGAGCCCTTTTCTGGTGTGGGATGGATAGTGACCGGCCGGCTCTGGTCGGTCGCCTGGCTCTTTTGATGCGTTGTGCGACAGGACAACGTTCCCGCGTCGGTTTGATGCGCGTCAGTCAGAGCACGGCTCTGAAAACCGCCGTGCCAGGGCGCCAATGCACCTCTGCAGTTTGACGCCCATTATTGCTGCCTTCTTTGCTTGGGCCGTCAAGTGCTCGTGCGATCGGGGATGGGTTTTTAATTTTTATATTCTGCGGCTGGTTTGAAGCGAAATACTGCTGTCTATGCTGGATGATGCCCCTGTAAATGAACGACGATGAACTATAATACCAACTTTGTATGTATACATGTATATATATATATATATGTATATATATATATATATATATATATATATATATATATATATATATATCCCTAGCTATAGCTGCGCGGCGGCTAGCAGGACCATTTGACATGACGCGTGGGTGCTGGCCGGTCGGGCTGTGTTCTCTGGTGACGTGGCCGGCGTGGCCGACCGACTCGCCTGACGCCGCCGTGTCCGGCAGGCGTGCCGCAAGCGCTGTCAGGAGGCGGACATCCGAGAGACATGCAACTGCGCCGATTCGGTGAACAAGGCGCTGACGCTCGGCCTGCCGTCTGACCTGCCGCCCTGCAATCCGCTGACCAGCCTGGAGGACGGTAGGGGGCGCGGCGAGCCCGCGACGGGGCTCGGGTCGCTGTGGCGTTTGTGCCGACCGACTGGCGCCAATCAAGGGGGAGTGCGGCGCGGTGTGGGTTTCCAGCTGACCCCTTCACAAATATATGGAAACAATCTAACGCCGAGTAGATCTGCGTGCCGGGTTGTATTGTTCAGCTGTATTATTGAGTTATATGTACGTTTAGATGACCTGGAAATATTGCCTTGGCGTGTGCACTGACAAGTAGGCATTAGTCAGAGCCACATATCTGTGTGCAGGTAAAACAATATTTGAATATCAACCGAGCCTTACGTCTCAAGTCTGAATAGGATATCCACATTCATGAAATTATAAAAATAGTAATGACACAAAACCGCTATAAGCTTCACTAAAGTTATGCTAGGAGGGAAATAATCAAGCTCATTTATATTTGTTAGTCTTTCTCATGACATTGATAAGTACGCGTTGTGTCCAAATTTTAAAGAAACCGTTTGCGCACAGCTGATTCCAGACCTTCTATTTTGGAAGGGATCTGCTGTGCGCGTGAGGTATGAAGTACGGTGTTCCGCGCAGCATATGCGCTACACTTTCTGGTAAAATTACAATCCCAGATCCATTCACTCAGCCAACGATGGGCATGTACCAAAATGTCTAGGCACAGGCTGCACTCAGAAGCTGCAAAATAAGCAGAGCACTCGTGCATTACCGGCGGTTTTTTTGTTGTTGTGCAGATGCTACCGAGCTACATCGAAGTAATTTAATAATTTCAGCACTCGAAGGAGCTGGAGGGGGCTGACCCGCGTTTAGTTCCAGTGGTTGAGCGCCGTGATTACATGTATACTAGAAATTTAATAAATCACATATTGTGTCAGGCTTCAAAGGCAACGAGGCATTCATCATGGGCTCCTCGAGACTCTCGGTGTTACAGGGCCGTCTACGTTGCGGTAGACCAAATGAAAACGAAGGTGTGTGGTGTACTTCCGTCTTATTTAGGGGTCAGATAAAGGTTAGAAATCCAGCTATAAAGCCGAAAACGTACATCATCGTATTTCCATCATAAGTACGTACCAGGAGCGCATTCAGGCACTCCAAGATAGGGATTCAAGTGGCAAGTTGAAAAAACTGACACTAGTTGTGTTTCTTTTATATCACCCGGCTTCGCCGCTGCACGATGTATCAAACACTTCAAACTGACTTGTAAACTAGGAAGTGCTACCCAAATTTCAGTTGAATTTGAACTTTGAAGGAAAATTAATTACCCCATCTCCTAGCTGTCACCGTCGCTGTCCAAGCGGTCCGCTTGGGTATATATACAGTATTGGATACAGTCTGCGGTCTACAGTCTGCGGTCTACGGTCTACGGGGGGGGGGGGCAGAATGCATCCCCCGCAGATAAGTGTAAATCTTGCGGTCCGGGGAGAACAAAGTTGGACTCCTGCCCATCTTATTACACCCGGGCCAAGATCTCAAAACCTTTGCGCATCTCTTTTGAAACGTGTATCCCGTTACGAAATCACTAAATGGTTAAAGAGCTATTTCCCCGAAGGAAGACTTATAGGAAGGTAATATCTGATCAAGTAGCTCGATTCCTTTTAATATGTAGCCCTGTCTTTTTTTGGAGCACGTGTTCTATTACGAAATTGCCATTTTAATGTCGAGAAAGTGACCATTTTGCTGTCTGCGAAGCCCCTGCAGACGACGCCCGCTGGGTGGCTGTGTTTCAGATCGGTGTCGGCAGCGGGTCAAGTCGAAATACGCCCACGGTGTCAGCACCTGTGACTGCCCCCCAGCCTGTGTGTAAGTCAATACATGCGCGCGCACAGGGGTGCACACCACACACACACACACATTCACACTCTGTACACGAATATGCGAGGCGAGACGAGCGGGTAGCTCAGCCGCGTGCAAACACCAGACGGGCCTCCGCACTGACCTGGAAACCTGACCTGACCTGACCTGACTGACCTAACAAGCGACCCTTTGCTAGCTGGCCTTCGACGGATTGAATCGGCTTTGTCGCCAGCGCTCACCTGCAGTCCGCTGGCCATTGGCGACTGAATAATGCTCAGCTGTTGCTTTCGGGCTAATGCACGTCGAAGTAGGCATTCAGTCCAAATGGTCAGATTGTCCACCACCATCTTGGTTTTCGATGAAATTTGATCCTGAGAGTGCACCCCTTGACAGACCACCCTCTGCCAGTTTGTAGCCTGGGTGACCCTTGAGTTCAGAGTCGGATGCTCTCGAACCGCCTGAACGACTTGGAACCCAACGGTTGGAAAGCTCTGTAACGTTATGAAAAACTGACGTAATAGTGCTCACCAGTGTAGTATGTGTATACCCTATTCATCACAATGGTGTCATTTAAGTCGTGTAGAGTAATTTCATGGCTCATCTCATTGGCACTTGTACGGGAATGGGGTAAATTTGGCCCCTTTATTTTTTCTGCCATATTTTTCCTGGAAAACTTGGTTTAGGAGGATATGTTGACGTTCGTTTTTAATTCTTTGCTCACAAGAACGCCAACAGTCCAATTCTTTTGACTTTCTTAAGGTCAGGGGAGGTCGCTGACCATGCATGTTCTCGACCATCCCGTCGCTTGCGGAATATGCCAACAACGATAGTTCTTGATGTTTATTTTCGTTTAACTAGTGACATAATTTAGATTGTTTCGGTCATTTCGACCTTCTACTGGTCAGATAACATCACTGAACTAAGGTGATCCCGAGTGGCTTTCTCTTTAGAAACGGTATGCAGATCAAACTTGGTTCAACGAAAAAACCTGAGGGCACTTCGGACGATCTCATTTTTTGACCTTTTCCGACCCCACTGACCTGAAGACCATGACCTGGAGGTCTGAAAATGCGAAGCAAGTTACTTCACATAGATCCGAACCCACGCTGTCAGTTTGGTGTCGCTAGTTTTCTCAGTTTTTAAATAATTTTTCAGCGGGGCGTCAAATTGACCTCTAAACCCCACGCGAACCCTTCGCATTCAACCGACCATCCAGGTGTGTGTCAAAAGTGCGGGGTTTCGTCTTGTTAGAAGCCCTGTCAATTCGAAGTACTTCGGATTACACATTTCGCGTGGGTCCGATTTTCCTTCACATGTCGCGTTACAAGCCTTCATGTATTTGTAGCGCTGTGGTAAACGCTTTTTTAGGTAAATGAAATCGTCTGAGGTGAGGCATTGGATGTCCCCATCTGTAGCTTACACATTTTGCCCTAATAATTATCACATTGGGCTCTACCAACGTCATGACTTCTAACATAGCTGAATAACTAGAAATCAATCATAATATGTCACAATTAATCATAATCATAAGTGTAAAACATAAATCAAGTAACGCCCGGTAGCATTAGTTGAGACGCCAGTATGAGTTGAAGGCACATATGCTACTGACATTCAAATTACCAGGAGGTACTGGTTAAACGACTCCCTAGTGCTAAACAACGATAGAGCCTCTTAGAGCTGTGTGACGAAGGTCGTGCATTTGTATGGATTCGACGTATGATTTCATGATTGAGTGTGGAAGTGCTTGACTTTCATTGCGTAACGGGCGAGTTTGTTGTGGTTTAACTACCTTGTGCTCAGGCACGTGCCCTGCGCTTTTGCATGATTTGTTTGAATGCATTCCTCGTGCACCGCGAAAGTAAAGTTTGGGCAAATGTGAATGAGTATTTGATATTGTTGCCACATGCATTACCAGAGTACTGTGACCAAGGATATCGTCAAGGTAAGTAGCATTGGTCGATGCATAGAGGGTCACAGACGTAGTAGAGCGGTTGGGTTTATTGCTGGGACTTTATGACCAACGTGGTATCTCGGTGAGGCACGCTACGCTTGTACACTAAGCAATTACACTTCTTTTTTGCCGCGAGCAGCGATGCGGCGCGCTCCCTGGTGTCAGTGTAACGACGCCAGGGGCAGCAACATCTGGCCATGGCCAGTTGGAGCATACGGACCATCCTAACATAACATAAAAAATCATTGAGTCCAAAAACTGAAATGCTTCGCATTTCAAAGTGGCTTCCTACTGAACACTGTTCAATGCGGTGGTCGTCTACCTCTTGTGGCACCTCAGTTAACCATTTTCATCGCTGTTTTTCAACTTCATCGTCGTTCTCCTCAATTCCATTTCAAATTTCTGCTTCGTTCTGCACTCTCAGGCTCAGGGACAGACCAGCGCACAACGACCTTGATGTGGCTGCAGCTGCCTTATAATACCATGCTTATGTTTGCATGCACTTCCTAAGTAAGTCAACGATGATGCAGTTAGCCATGCTTATTATATACAAAAATGAGTATAAGCCTCTGATCTCAGTCGCCACATGATCCTACTCGTAGCCATGAAACGGCCGTCTCACTCCAAAGAGGGATGTTTGCCTTGCCGCACCAAGACTTTATGCGTTGTGGGAAGGGCTTTCTTTCTATCATGGGCCTCCACCATTCAAGATCTCTGTGGTGCGGGGAGGAGGCTTACCCGCTGTCATGACTTGTGCTCACCAGCCGCCGCATAATGGCTCCTCATTACACACTATCCCTATGTGTTGGCTTACCAGGTCATGGCACGGGCCCTATGCAGTGGTTTGGCTCTCAACCACCTAAGATCTTTAAATTCATTGATCTCCTTTCATTCATGACACGATGGCGCACGACCGCTGCCGACCGTATCCGATCCTCCATAGCCGGGATCTCTGCGCGACCATCACATTACGTTGTTGGTCACACGCGGCCCTGTCGCATACGGACGCCGACCATACACGTAGGATGCAGCGTCCTTTCAGCCCCCTCCCCCAGGTACAGGGGCCTCATAACGCCGGAGGGCGGGCGCACATGTATGTGAGGGGTGGTCAGCCGTCCACCTGACGCCGTCACCCCTGCGCAGCATGACCCTGCGAACGGGCTTAGGCACGAGCAGATAGCGTGTGCGAGGACAGTGCATATATGCTAGCTTCCAGCAGACATGTGCCTGGATCCCAATGGTGGATCCAAAATACCGAGGGTGAATTCAGTATCCCAAGGGCAAATCCAGGACTTAGTAAGGATCCCTGCTTATGAGACCCGGGATCTTTTGGGACTCCCGGTATATGTCTGGTTGCAATGTTATTAGGGTTTCGATATCGTCCCAGACCAACGTGACTTCACGCAGATCGCGGTGGTTGAATCATGCTTCGCAGGACAGCGAGTTTGTTCTTGGTCTCTGTTGCAGGGAGGATCGATATGATCAGACCGTCTCCATGAATCTCCCCAATAAGATCTACTACAAGATCATCAGGAACATCACGGACGGCTATGCTGGCGGAGATATCTGTGATACGTGAGTGGTACTCTGCAAAAATGGCTAACCAAACTAACCTAGAAACTTTGTATGTTTGTCGCATGGTCCTGAGTCAGTGCCGGTTTCTTTTTTTTACAATGCCTGGAGAATACCTTACAGCGCACAAGTTAGCACGAGTATCCCATGCCCCCCACTCTCAATGCGACTTCAGCTCCGGTTTTTCTCACACCGCAGGTCCGAGATTTCGAACAACACGATCCGACTCCAGCTGTTCCTAGAGGATCTCTCATACGAAAGCATCCACGAGTCGGCGGCCTACTCATTGGAGGCGCTCATCTCCAACATCGGTGGCTTGATGGGGCTGTTCGTGGGCATCTCGGCACTGACGCTGGTCGAGTTCATCGAGTACGCGATGGAGCTAGTGACCAACGGCTGCCGTAACTGCTGCAGCAGCTCAGCCAGCAAACGCTCCGGCATCCGGCGCGTCGAGGTGCTGCCCCCAGACCAGCAGACCGGCATGCAATGTGAGTGCAGGCGTTACGATCTCCCCCTCACGTCTCCCAATCCCTTCTTTGGAACTTCTGTTGGGTCTAAGTTCCGCGGGTGAATTCAATGGCGGATCAGCTTCTCAAAAAATGGGACAGCAAAGGAGGTCTTCCGCTTCGTCCATGCAACGCTATAAGGTTGGCATTCTTTGGGGGGGGGGGACGACTGTTCCGAATCCGACAAGATCCGACGAGATTCGAATCGCGTATTCTGGAATGTGTTTAATCAAGCACACAAACCCCCGATGACGGGATCCGAACCGCGTATTCTAGACTATGTTTAATCCAGCACCGGTCCGAGTCTTCGGTGACGGGATCCGAACCGCGTATTCTAGACTATGTTTAATCCAGCACCGTTCCGAGTCTTCGGCGACGGGATCCGAACCGCGTATTCTAGACTATGTTTAATCCAGCACCGGTCCGAGTCTTCGGTGACGGGATCCGAACCGCGTATTCTAGACTATGCTTAATCCAGCACCGCACCGAGTCTTCGGTGACGGGATCCGAACCGTGTATTTTTGAACGTTTTTTTCTGTTTATTCTGGAATAGGTTTCCTTTCGAGGTCACGACATGGAAGGCACAACTACTGCAGCGTGTACATAGGTGCCGAACTATCTCAGCCATGCTGTTTACAGTATGAGCCGCCCATGGTATGTGCTGGTACAGCGATTTACGTTCACTAAACCAGGTAGTGCACTGAGTATATGTTCGAATGTAAAGCGCAGCCGTAATATTCACAACGCATTACACTTTAACACATTCAATAGACATTTTTGTTAATATTTGGCACACGGGCTGTTTGTAGCAGTGGGGTCTGCGTCGGAACATCTCACCTAAACGTAGCTTATTGTGTAAACACTGCCCGCGCCGTGAAAGTGGTCTGGACTGTTGCGCAATTCCCCTCATCCTGCTAGCCAAATGATGCCAAGAATTTTTAAAGTGTCACTGAGGATCATGACACAGCTGGGCGTGGTAAAACTTCCACTCCGCGGCTTGAAATCACGACGCCTGGAGTGGAAGTCGCAAACGTGGAGACGCATCTTAAATCCTGCGTTCAACTCTCGCTATGAGAGGAGACCGGTGGGCTAACCACTATGCTTTGGGAACATCTGCTACATCCGGCGGCATCACTTCGATCTGGCCCCTCGATCTGTGCTCCGGCATGTTATGCCGTCACTGGGTGAAGTCCGTTTTTAATGCACTAGAAGCGTCAGGCCTCTGGAGATGAGCGCCAGTTCTGGGGAGCTTGGCGCCGAGGTGCCGTCGCGCCGACGGTCTGATGCTGGTGTCGCTCTTGCCGGTAGGTATCACGGTCATCCACACGTTTGAGAAGCCTCCGCCTCACATCGAATACCTCCCGCCTCCGCCCAAGCCTCCGCAGACGGAGAGCGCAAGCCAGACGAAGGTTTCGCTCACGTTCCTCGGCAAAACGAGCAAAAAGGCCAGCAAGAAGGCCAAGGGAGGCCCGAAGCGCCGTTAGCCGCGCGTCCGCCGGTGCGCCGAGCCGTCAGGGGTGGCCGCGCCGTCGGCCTGGCTAGGGCGCGGCCGTGGCGACCCGCCGTCACCGCAGCGCGACGCTCTGTTTCAGACATCCGCGTGGTCCACAAGTTTGAGGTACCTCAGGAGACAGAGGTGCGCGACTGGCCGCAGCCGACTCTGGTCGACCGCCAGATGAGCACCATGGTCACCGTGCCAGTCAACGGGCCCGACAACAAGGCCTGGATGAAGGTCAAGTGAACGGGCCGGGCGGGCGCGCCGGGCGTCGGCGCTGACGTCGCCGGTGCAGGGGCGGGGCGGGATGCTGGAGACGGGCGGCACTGGGTCGACGGTGGACGCCTGTCCTCGGGGAACCGGCGCGTTTTGTTCTGGGCTAGAGGCCGTGCGTGAACACGTTCGATGACGTTGTCCGTAGATAAAACCGCGGCGGTATAGCGCCACCGTCTCAGAGAGCCGACAGAGCCGGCCACGACATACCTTTCTCTTGATCATCAGTGCGTACCGAATTAACGATATTGACCAATGTTGAGCCACTTCCTGCACGTACAGAATGCTGCTTTACTTCAACATTGTTCTGTGAAATATTCGGACTGGTTCGTAGAGGCCGAGCCGGGTTTGGCCACACCATCAGAGCTCTCGCTGGTTTGATCGCACGCCCGTGACGTCACATACAGCGGCGCTGGACCCGGAAATACCATGTATGGTAAACGCATGCTTCGGTGGTTTGTCCGTCTATTCCGCATTTTGAGAATGCACCCATGTTTTACGCGCAACGGGAGTATGGTTTCAAGAACAATGTCGTAAAGAGATAGACGCACATCAAGGGCTTTTGTTAGCAAGGAGCTGTTAAGAGATATTTTACCTGTAAATGACGTGTGAAGCACATCCTATCTACATGCGTGCCTTTTCACTCATGTGCATTTCATTTCGCCTGGATTCCAGTCAAAGGAAATAAAATTAAAGACGTACGCGTTGAATTTGCTTTCGAGAAAGACGAACTAACCACCTGATCACCTTGTGCACACGGATAGAGATTCCATCCGCTTAAAATGTGGGAACACCTCCTTTCATATCACGCTCCGAAACTGTCAGGGAAGCCAGACAATAGCACCTATCACGTAGTCTCCCTTTGAGGAATTCCAAACCAAGTGTGGTGTCCGAATCAACTCGAAGACATGGACACAGAGGGATGAAAGGCCTGCTTTACGAAATGTAATCAGATAGTTGTCACTGTCGCCAGCGTTACGCTATCCTCTTGCAAATGAGACCGACTTACGCACTGTCAGACAATGATGCTAGTATTGCATTGCAAGAGCTATTTGCAGCAACTGTGAATTGGCTCTCCGATCCTTCTACATATCATTTGACATCGTTGAGACTTTACGACGGCTGCTGCTGAGGTTATACGGCGTCGCTTGCCTTTCATCCTGGCAGGAAAGGCTGGCATCGCGAGGAATAGATATTTCCATATATTCTGATCGACTTTTATCACAATATGTTTCGTCCAATACCCCAATCCCAGGACGTAATCATTCCAGTGCGCCGAGCAATGGCTTCTCCATAGTCTGACAACTGAACCTCACTGCCGAGACTCGTCACAGCTGCCGACTGCAGTCATTCCCGCCACAGACCGTGCTGGAGAGACGGTTCCATGTGTCGCACCATGCCGGGAGACAACACGAACTGAGCAGCGGCCGAGCTCAGCAGGACACGAGCTGAACAGCGGCCGAGCTCAGCAGGACACGAGCTGGGCAGCGGCCGAACTCAGCGGGACACGAGCTGAACGGCGGCCAAGCTCAGCAGGACACGAGCTGAGCAGCGGCCGAGCTCAGCAGGACACGAACTGAGCAGCGGCCGAGCTCAGCAGGACACGAGCTGAGCAGCGGCCGAGCTCAGCAGGACACGAACTGGGCAGCGGCCGAGCTCAGCAGGACACGAGCTGAGCAGCGGCCGAGCTCAGCAGAACACGAGCTGAGCAGCGTGTAGGTACCAGCCAGCCCTTACCCAGCATGACTATTATGTGCTGGGCAGGACCGCGCGCCAGCCGTCCCCAGCGTGACTACCAGGTGCTGGGCGAGACCGCGCGCCGGCCGTCCCCAGCGTGACTACCAGGTGCTGGGCGAGACCGCGCGCCGACCGTCCCCAGCGTGACTACCATGTGCTGAGCGAGACCGCGCGCCAGCCATCCCTAGCGTGACTACCATGTGCCGGGCGAGACCGCGCACCCGTTCGGCGGGTGCTGACACGTTTCGCCCATGGCCAGTGGCCACCTTACCACTTCGGCGGCCATGATAGATGGATGAGTATGTTCGGCCAGCTCACCTTACCCCAGCATCACCTTGATGTCATCAACCACTTTCCCCTGCAGAACACTCCCCGTCTTTGACCAGCGAGTATCGTTCGCCCTCGGACACAGCGACAGCGCCATCCTTGACCAGTTTGTCGAGATGGTGTTTGACGTTCACGGACGCGGGACGTCGCATGTAGAAGGGGATGTCCTGAAACAACAAGAGTTTGCGAGGCATGTTAGAGTTCTAACCGAGCTACGAATATCGAAAACAAGATGTGAAATTGGACGGATCTCTTCTCGCCGCTGAAATCAACATCACACTACCGACTAATAACAAAGCCCAGTCCACGTTCTTATGTACTGTAAGCCATGATTTTGTGGCTCTCATTGCCTTCATAAAGTTATGGCAAAACAGTCGGCTCTATCTGAGTGAGTAGAAGATCATACCTTGCTTATGCGGTGACCACGCCATCCAAAACGCCTCAGAATGCGTTACCGGGGGTTACAGTGCGCTACGATGTCTTATCACAATATTTCAATGTGGGGCCAGATCCACAAAGACTACCCGCCCAGGTCGGGATGCGGACGCGGCCTACCGTGTACACGGTCTTCACCAGCTCAGCAACGGTGCGAGCGTCGGGGTCAGAGGCTCGGAGCGCCGTCATGAGCTGACGCTCCCGCTCCAGGCGGTGGTCGATATAGTGCTGGATCTTCTCCACCGGATTCTGGAGAAGACGCACTTTCAGACGCAAGACTGCAGCATTCTCAAGACCACTTGGCCGAATCATTTGGGAAAGAGGAGAAACCCCGGAACCCTAAAGAATGTGAGTGATAAGTCAAAGCACATAAAAATAAAGGAATTTGTTGCCTGTTTCAATGTTTTAACTCCACGGACATCAAACGTCAACAAAACGTAAGGTCATAGCCGTGCCATAATGATCGAGCGGTGGCGGCACTGCCCTTCCATTCCAGCACGCGTCCTTAGAAAGCATTCCGAGGCTACAATAGCGCTGTACGGCCTGATGGAAGTGACTCGGTGGACAGCTGCGATGTGCTCTCCGTGTGCCATGTAAGCCTACATTGGGAAACATGGGCCATGACGTGGGCCACCATCCTTACATCGGGAGCTGGTACCTGGAGACACATGCTTAAACGATATGCCATATTGTCACGCCGCATTGTTACGGTATTCCAACAAAGTCGCTTCGAAATGTTTTAGTCAAGGTTATATATGATGCCCTCATTATATGTTCCTCGGCCCTGTGTTGTAGTCTACAGCCATCACAAGTCAGAAAAGGGTCAGATGCCCGTAACGTGGCCCATCATAATACGTTTATGTTCTGAAACCATAGAACGTTTATTTGAGTGTCTATAAATGGTTTTACACATTCTTGCTGTTTTTTTAGGGCGCACCATTTTTCTTCTCCCATGACGTATCACGTATAACGCCGCATGTTTTCATTCTACTTAATTTTGTATGTTTATTTCAATTTTTTATCGTCACCATTTATTCACATCCACATCCATACATGTCAAAATTTGATAAGGAGAGGGGTAGGTGCCCAGGCGCCCCTATCGAATGGCCTACTGTGAACGACATTACATGCAGATTAGAGCACTTCTTCAGACCTTACTCCTCGCCGATAGATGAAGAGACGTTCAAAAATCGATATATTGATATTTCTACCACCGGCACGTGTCACGACCGAACAATGTAATCACTAACGGCTGCATTGTATCCGTCACAGCAAACACAACACATATACTGACTGCTCGATCATTACATAAGGTTTCGACGAAAGCTTGTGTCCAAAACGTCAAAATATCCCCATATTTTCAACATTTACTATCATCAACAGCGAATAAAGCCAAGAGAAACGGTATTAATCTCAGGAATGGATTAGCTGAGGAGACTGGTCCCACATGAGGAGGCATCACTCATGAGCACCTGGATCGCACCCATGCCCCACCCAGAGCCGCTGCTCTTTACGGGGACCCGCAGACTTACCTCCACGACAGGTCCGTGGCCGGGGTAGATGACGCGGGGCGCCATCTCCAGCAGCCGCTGCAGCGAGGCCATGTAGTCGGCCAGGTCCTCGAACACCGCCGTCGTCTCGCCAAGGACACAGTCGCCGCTGAACAGGACGCCGCCCTCGCTCATCATCAGCACCACGTGGTCCGTGCAGTGGCCGGGCGTGTGCACCACACTGAGGGCGCACCGGGCGGCGTTACGCGCGGGCCGGCCTAGTACGGCCGCAGACACCGGCGCCGCGGCAGGCGGCGTCACCCGCAGGCCGGCCCAGTACGGCCGGAGACAGCGGTACCGCGGCCGGCAGCGTCTCGCGCGGGCCGGCCCAGTACGGCCGGAGGCGGTGCCGCCGCGGCAGGCCAGCCCGACACATGCATCGGACGAGTGCGCCCCGGGCCCGCCGCGGCTCGACGGCGCGAATGCGACACGAGCCCACTGACCGGCCAGCCCTCCTCCGCGGGATAGACGAGAGCTGCCGAAGATGGCGGCGGTGGACGGCGGATGAATCGAGCCAAGATCGCGACGTAAGCCCGTCAAAATGCAGTACGATCAGGCCAGCCGGCTGGGTCTTGCTTCGCAACAATTGGGTCGGTACCAAATGCAGGAAAAAGGGAGTCTTGCTACCCCACAATCAGGATGCCCAACCGCTTCCTCACTCCCCGAGAACAGTCGGAAGCCTCATAAGCATTCGCGTTCACTGGTCGCCGCGAACAGCGAGAGCACGATACCTCCCCTGGCATCGGCGACAGCGGGACCTACCGGAGCGTGGCGCCCTCTGTGCTGATGACGTCGCCATCACTGAGCAGCGTCACACCGGGCGTTTCCGCCGCCTCCGGGCGCGGGAACTTGCGAGCCGGCACGTCTGGGAGCCCAGAACCGGCGTCACAAGCAGCCATGCAGCGGGCTCGGGGGACAGCGCGCATGGCAAGGCCGCACGCAGCCGCACGTCGACGCCACTCCAACACCACCCCGCTGGTCCTTTGGAGTTAACGCTTCCGTTCGGCCAAAGCACAACAGTAGCTACCCGGCCCCCACGTCCACACAGATGAGGGCATTGCACTCCTCCCATGCTCTCCGGCAGGTGTCGGGAGCGTTAATCAGACGGTGACGTCAGTAAGCCGGCGACGTCAGTCGGGCGCGGGTGCATGCTCGGCTGAACAAGTCCGCAATGTTGGTCACGCGCCAGCGGAGTGGCATACTTGACTTTTTCGAACAACCGTGATACTTACTTCAACACCTGCCGCCACTGTGGCCACCACGCCCACAGTCACGCACAAGATATTTCACGATACCAGGAGTCTAGTAATACACAGTCGGTAGGATTCTTCTCGGCCTCACTGCATGGAAGCGGGACGCGCAGGCCGCCGACCGCGCCGCGTACCTCCGAGCCGGCGCCGGATGTCGGCCAGCCCGCCCACATGGTCCGGGTGCCAGTGGGTGAGCACGACCTCCTGCAGTTCGGCGTCCGCCTCGCGAAGCACCCGCTCGAGCCGATCCACGTACTCCGGCACCGACGCGCTGCCCGTGTCCACGAGGATCCGCCTGCCAGCATCGTCACGTGCCGCACAGCCGCCATACGGCGTATCCCCGGTGGGAGCCGGGATCCGCCGGCTGGAGCCGCCACGTGCGGCGCACGGCCATCGCCGATCATGTCATCACACGGCACACCGGTGTTAACCAGCCTCCGCTTGGTCATTCTGTGACGACTGTGCGACATGTGCAGCTCAACAAGCACTGGTGAGAGAGACCAATAACGAGGTCAGCTCTGCCGTTTTTGACGGATCGAACCGTGAACGTTACAAGCGCCCCACCCACCGCCAACAAAACATCCAAGGCGTGTTTTAAGGAGATTCTACCGCGAAGGAGAGCCGGGAGACCGGAAGTGGAGGGGGAGAGCAGGAGCAAGGAGCTTTAGCTGCCCTTCAAATATGAAGCCTTCGGACTGAGGTACATACCCTGCTGCCATATGCACCTAGTTTTTTCCCCGGTGCACAATTTTGTCTTCTCGACCTATCCAGTCGCATGCGTCATATCATCCGTCCTACTAGGAACGCGCAACTTCACGATTGGGAAGACATTTTGGGTGAATCGGGAGTCACTTGGTTTCCCCTTAGAATGTTGAAACTGACATGCCAACATCGACGCATCAGTGATAGAAGTAACCTTGTGCATCGCACCAGAACAGTATTGCCAAAAAATAGCAACCAGCCTCAAATAGCGCGGGAATGCGTCGCTCGGTGCAACAGTTAATGCATTCATGCCACTAACGGCAAGCTTGGATTTCAGGCCTGTGATTGGTTAGTTTATAAGCAAGTTCAAGACGTGGAGTTCATGGAGTTCACATGGAGCAGCATGGAGTTCACTGGAATGGACCAAACCACGGTAACCTTGATGACAGGGTTCATCGCAGGTTCTAAAGGCCAACGTCCCATGGTCAGTTTGGCGATTTGTTCTCTGTGGGCATGGAACAATCTACCAGCGAAAGGGATTTCCAGGGATAATTGCAACAATCTCCTGAGAATCGGCGCTCCCATTTGTGAGGCAATAGTTTTCGACGCACCCCGTCTGAGAGCTCCAGAGAGGCAGCGCCGAAGCGCTTTTCAAGCTATCCGAGTGGTGGTTTCATCAACGGTGCCCTTACATGTGGCATTTACATTCTACACCATCTACTGTGTGCTATGCACACTCAAGCCAGCGACCAGCGGCATACAAAAATACACCTCGGCTCTTCTGTGAGCGGTACAGAGATCGACATCCAGCTAACTCTTCACCTCCTGTTAGAAGTGGACATCCAACCCGCAGTTGCAACGATCGCTTATTTCAGTACTTAACTGAAATTTGACAAAACGCTTCGCAGCCATGTTTTTGTATGCAAAGGAAATGTGTGCATTCTCTGAATTGTCAAGGACTCGTCTGTGATCCACAAATTTATGGAGCACATTTCAGCGTGGTGCAAATATCTGTGGAAGCTTCGGCTACGCTTTCAAAAGCAAAACAAACATGCTAAAGCTATGCCAGGCAGTGTTCTTGGAAAGGGCCAGACCATGCCATCAGATCGCTAAATTCCAGGTCAAAAGCAGAATTTAACGGCGAGCTCTTGGTGAGCACCATGCACGGCGCAGCCTGTCGTGACCTCTAACGTTACCTGACCTTTAACGCGGCCGCTGCCACCGGCCGGAAGTGGTCCTAGACTGGGAAAAACAGTGAGCATCTGAAGAATCCTGGATCTGAATCGGGAAAAGCACAAGCGTGGGTCCATTTTCGGGACATTGACCCGTCACGGGCTGCGAGACCTCGGGACGTACCGTCTGCCTGTGCCGATCAAGTAGGTGTTGGTTCCCTGCAGCGTCATCGGACTGGGGTTGCAGGCGAGCACGCGGGTGACGGCGTCAGAGAGCTGAGCGACGCCCGGCAGCGGTGTCAGGCCCGGCTGCAGGCGCCAGCTCTGGAGCCAGCCGAACGTCTTGAACACGGCGCGCATCAACATCGCCTGTCGACAGAGACCGTGGTCACGTGACGACGATCGCTGGCTGAGACCGGGTCACGTGACGACGATCGCTGACTGAGGCCGGGTCACGTGACGACACCGGCTAACTTCTCTTGAAAGGACGCGGTAGGCGTGATTCGCGAGAAGCGTGTGTTCACGTGAACAGACACGTGAAGAAGCAAGCGCGGGTTAAGTCAAGCGTAGCGCGCAACCGCCGCTTGGCCACGGGTCGACTTCGACGCAAATCGTTCTCGGAAGACGCGAGCGTGTCAGTCCTTTCTGCAGGGGCGGCCGATATGCCCCCCCCCCCCCTGAGGAAGTCCAACGCAGCCACTCGTTCTGGATACCCAGCCACCTGCGGCCCAGCGATGATGGACAAAGATCATTTCCAGGTTTGAAGCAAATTGGTGACATTCCGTAGTTCCAAAATTTTGAATGCAACTTTTGACGGTTATCGAAATTTGAAGCACCATTCTGACAGAACGAGAAAAAGCCGTCATGTCAGGAATATTTTGCAGGGCGCCGTATTCTGCATATGCATCTAGACGTTCTACGAACATGCTTTCAAGATGTGGGCATTTAAATGCGCTTGAATGACTTCAATCTTGCATAGGACTGTTGAGTGTATGCGTCCCTACTTTTCAGATGATCGTACTTTGCCGTGTGCCTGGACAATACTGTGAGTGAGAAATGGAGGCATTCTGTGCAGTTGTTTTCACAAAAAGTTACTTTGCGGAGGATGGACGCGGTTCTTACCCATTTTTAACTTGGTTTCCCGGACAGGGTTCCCAGTAAGAATTCAGTTGCTGGCACTATCACTTTTACGGCATCGAGCATAAGTTACAGGTCATCACCAGCTGTTTATACCTATGCTAATGCGGAAATCGGTCTGCTACGAGAAATTGGATGCTGTGACAAATGTTCGCTGCATTTAAATTCGATGCGAAGCGTCTTTGCCGCATACAAGGTTGGCTTCCAGCTAGCCGGCTAGCGGACTATCGGTGACCGATCAGGGGACCGTTGCGGCTGGCTGACTGTGGAGGGCTGCGAGGTTGAGGATCCGGGAAAAAGGTATACGCACAGATAAAAGCCATGAATTTGAGATGCATAAATCCACTCCATTGAACTCGTTCGTCATTACAGATTCGCAGAGCCTCAAAATTAATTACGTGTTTACTACGATGTGCTACTAACGTTTGAACGTGTTCACGTATACTTAAATAGTCACCTTATCGCAGTGGCTGACTGTCACGGGGAAGGTCATTGTCTAAGTGGGGAACAGTACGGAAGTTACGTACAACTAATTATTTGTCTTATGAACGCTGGGGCTGCTTGGGTCCCGCTTAGCATCTCGCTACCCTATAAAATCAGTACAACTTATTTTTACAGATTTTTACATGAATTTGGCTAATTTCAGCGAAACGAGCAAAACTTAATATCGCCGATTTTGCAAGGTAGCGAGATGCTAAACGAGAACCGAGCAGCCTCTGAGCACTGTACTGTCTGGCAAGGCCCGGCAGAAATTTCCCATGGCGCGTCGGCCTAGGAAAATTTACTGAGGTCTTGAGAACTCATGGGAATTTCCAGTTTTTTCAAATTCTCCAGTTGGTGGAACTTCCCCACCAGTGCTTGCAATCTTCGGTTGCTCTCGGGTTTTAAAATATATTTTTACTATTTTGATAACGTTCGAAAAGATGCGGGAGACGTTTTCCACTCCAAGCCCATGAGTTAAACCAATTCTGGGATCATTTATCAGTCATTGGCAATCAACTGTTCACAGAAACAACTAGCTGGCTAGCCGCCGGTGTCGGGTCGATGGCCGCCGACTAAAAACGACTAACCGCAACAAATATTGCGCAGAGAATTTCAAGACAGACTTCATTACGTTACTTCGGTGTCTTGAAAATGAAGCGGTATTCTCATGCCCCTGGACCCTTGACAAGTCCTTTTCAAACAGCCAAAGAGCTGTCAGCCATGTCGCTGCTGTCAAGCAAGTTAAGTCACCAATAATCCCATCTGACCTCCACATCGTAAAGTGCGGATTGGTTACACGCAAACCATTCCTTGCTCTAAGGCAGCGAATCTGCGCCTCTCCCTTCATGCCACCTGGCTGCATGTTGATTTCACTGATTTCCGACTCGCTTGTTCAATAGAAGTGTTCCTGACACTTGTCGAACACGAAAGCCAATGCGGTTCTGTTTTGGATGCTGTCAGACAAGCCAACGCTCTTCGAAAGATGGGAAATGTGGGTAACAAACTAGGATTAGGGATCGGGTTGCTTGATACAGGCGGGTTGGAGCCAATTTACCGTTAATATGCGATGGTGCGCTAAGAGTCGCTAGTTACTGTATGTTCTCAGGATCCACATTCGGAAGTAAAGTGTAGTTGTAGGCATCTGTCCGGCTATAGACGCGCTAAAGCTACTTGAACTAGCGGTTCAGCCACCTGAAACGCGCGAACCAGCGCTGTTTTAGCGGTCACTCCGCTTATATTAGCACTTACTAAAAGTGTTATTCTGCCCGACCCCAATTTTAAAGTGGTTCATACGCCGTTGGTCCCGGCATACTATAACCCCCGCCCGAGGTTTAAAAACGCCACGAGGGCTATAAAGGCATCCAAAGAAACAGAAGTTCACTTCGAGCGCCCGTGGGACCTTGGATAACGTTGGGGTTTTGAAGGGCGCCCGTGGCGTTCGAAAATACAACCGAGCTATCTTCAGGATACCCTGGCCCCCCAAAAAAAACCAGACGCAAGACAAGGTTTTAGACACCGGCGCGTGATAAGGGAGTCTGACGCGCCTCAGTTTTTGTGCATAGCGTTAGCGCTCCATTCATTGAAACTGGTGCCCGAACATAGGGTGTATCTTTAAAATTCCTGGATCGATTTCTGGCTGGCCAATTCATTCGTTGCACAACGCAAAAAGAACTGACTGACGGTTAAAGGGGATGTTCAACATTTCTATGGGGTTTTTAATCGAAATAGCCATCTTGAAGATCATTCGGCACAGTTCACAGCCCCGCCCTTCTTGAGAACCCAGCCTTCTCCAGGTTCTGGGCTACACGCCAGCGAAGATGAGGGTTTTTCGGGAAGAGTATTTCAAGGTCATTCAGGCATTCATGACACAAAAACGTCATTCATGGTCGAGTTATTCATATGCGGCGTTCATGAGCACCATTTCCAGATAAAACGGCCGTTAATTACCTCTCAGTCAATGTTGTGCAAGGCACGATGACGTAATCAAATAACATATCGAGGAACATATTTGCTAAACCGAGAAATCATGTGGTCTAGAGCAATCTGTTGTATTACAAATATGCCGATATTTATAAGCGAGCTTGTTTTATCACATCTGATGCTGGTTTTCATATCTTCAGCTGTGAAACATTCCATTTAAGGTTGTATTGAAATCATGTCCCAATATCATGCACATCACTCAGCACAGATCGAACACCTAAAATCACGCAAGGTTGGCAGCGCCGGCTCATGCAAGCCGCGCAACTAATCCACACTCAAAACTTGCATTCATGCTCAGCGCCCCTAGCTAACGAATATTTCACATTTCTGCCACCCATACCCGAAGCTTGGTCACGCCCACGCCACCCACGACAAAACTCTTTCATGGCAGCAATCATCCCACTTAAAATTATCCATGTCCCTCACAATCCCGGTCAGAACTTTTTTACGCACGCGGTCACTCGCTCAGAACCTCTTCTTGTCTGCAGCAACATATTCAGAGCATCGTATTGCCCGCGGCACTGCTCTCTGGACTATTTTCAGTCAGCGGCACTCCCAATTGGAACTCCTTCATGTCTGCCACGCTTCCACCCAGAACTCCTTTGTCCATGGCGTCCCCACCCACAAATCCCGTGCGCCCGTGAGTTCCCACTCAAAACTCCTTCATGTCCGAGGCGCAGAAGCGCTGGATATCGTCCATGCTCATGGCGCTAAGTCGGAGCTCGAACTTCTTCTTGAACTCGGCGAGCAGCCGGGGTGCGTCCTCCTTGCCCAGGTGACGCTCGGCCAGGCTCTGGAGCGGCGCCCACGGGTCGGTCGGAGGTGCCGAAGCCGCCGTCTTCATCGTCACCAGGAACACCTTGGCGCCGGGCGTGAGGCGCGACGACGTCACAGTCTCGTCGTCCTGTAGCGTCTTGCCACGGTATACCAGCTTCTGCGTCTGCTTGGGCACCCGGAGCTTCGACTCCACCAGCGTCTTCAGCATGGATATCGTTGTATCCTGTGAGACCTCAACCTGGCACTCCTCGCCCTGCAGTATCTTTACAGTGATCTCCATGTGAGCTTGGCGCGTCTGTCTGCAACAAAGATGATTGTTCAGAAATGCCAGCCGTAAACAACAGCGTCGAAGCCGTGGCTCTTTTTCACAACTGCTGACATCGTCCAAACCTAGACGTAACACGACCGCTTTAAGCCTCACACAGGTCACGCGGCGATGTACATGGCCAAGGCTGCTGCGATCACGCGCTTGTCAACCAGCCAGTGGTGCAGCAGGTTCTGGTACAGCCGCAGGTCTTTCCTAAGTGCGTCAGCGGACAGTGCACCCATGTGGGTCTCCCCACCATTGTCCGCTGGGGCCCTTAGGAATGGCCTAAGGCTGTACAAGGAGATCGCTGCTCGAGCAACCGTTGCACTACCGGACGGTTGACAAGCCCACGGTCGAAGCAGCGTTGGCCGATGTACCTCCACTTGGCCTGTCTGAGGCCCGAGACGGTCGTGCTCCGTCTGGTTTCGGGTAGCGTCCGCCCTCGTGACAACGCAGCTATGGCTATGACGCTGTCGGCCATCCCAGCGGCGGGCTATTTTGAAGGTGTTGCGCCATTTATCGACTCGGAGATACAACTGTTGGATCCGGTATGCGAGTCCTCTTGGCTGGTATTCCACCTTATTCGGATCAGAGGCAGCCGGTGGTTAACAAGCGACTTGATGTATGGGAATGAGAAGTAATCACGCGACGCGAGGGTCTGCTTGGTAGCGACATTGTTTTCATTGACACGGGTTGACATTTTCTTTTCTTTTGGTGGAGGTCGAACAGATGAAAGCGTGGTCCAAGTAAAGTCAGGTGGGGTTAAAAATGGGGTTTAACGAGTCTACACGACCGTAGTGAACACACAATCAAGCTCTTCGTCGGAAGTATTTGTTTGATTCTCATCTTGACACAATTCGAATATTTTTGGTTTTAAGCATTGCTTCCCCATTCACGTTCTGGAGAATGCCACCTTCTAGAGCAACGGCAACTAAACAATTGCATATCACAAGCCGTGCCAGTAGTCAGCGCTGGGTTGCGGCAAGTGTGCATAGAAAAACTTTGTATGTCTCTTGTTCGGAAGATAAGGTTTGCGTGCCTTCAGTTGGTCAAGATAGAGCACGGAGGGGGGAAGTTGTAACGTGAAAAGTTTGTAAAGTAAAACTTCAAGCAGGCCAAAGCTTGTGTGATAAAATGTTCCTCGGGAAAGTGTGTAACACGAAAGGTTCGCGCACGCAGAAGTCAGCAGTGTATACAGGAGTTTGTCAAGCAGCATCCATGACAGGTGTGTAAATAGCAGCGCTTTATTCGGCAAGCGTGCTGTGGCCGGTTTTCTCATTTGATCCATTTGATCGCTGTGGGCCATTTCAACTTGCTTCAGACTGGAGATTACTCTGTCCCAGTTCAGTGACCATGGTGATAACTGGTGATAACTCTGTGCCCCAGTCAGTTATCACCATGGTCATCCACCCCACTCAGTCATCAAGACCATCTAGAGCTGTTTCCTGTTTCCAAATTCCCGGCAGCCAGCACACTAAAGGGTGGGTGGAACCCCTAGGGTGATGACAGCCAGCCAGGTGCTGGCGGTCGTGAGGTGGTCATTTGCCAGCATCAACATTTACATGCTGCACTGCTGCACAGGACCAAAGCGTACCCATTTTTGGAGCATGGTAACATCATCTTGGGCACGTTCGGCAAACTGGATCAGGAGCGGCTAGAGCTGGTTCAATGATGAGCTACCTGCCTTGTCCAAGAAGTGAAGCATCAGCTATATCCTGAAAAACTTCTACTCCTCAAGCCATGCTGGATGTAATGCCATTGTCACAGGAGAGACATGGCTGGGCTGCAGTATTTCAAATGTTTTAGAGAGCCGTGCCCCTGTCAGTGCAGAAATTCCTGACAAAACACAATTCAAAGAAGACAAGAGAATGCCTATGGAAGCTGATGGAACCTTAAACTATGACGCTTGTCCATTGAAACTTGTTCAGCACTCTGATCATAAATAATTGGAAATGCTATTCCATCTGAAGTTGCACCACCAACCTCTACTATTAGGCACCAAATCCACAACAAGCACCCAGTCCATACAAATCGCCAGTCCCATACAAAGCAGCAGGTGCATACCAGGGCCAAATTCCCCATTATCATTCCACATATTCCCCATAATTCCCCCAACAGCTGTCCTCAAATCACAACCTGATGTTAGGGGAACCTCAGCACACATCAGTTCCTATGGTTCAGAGAATAGTTGCTTGTGTGTGACATATGCACTTGCACCATTGTAGGTGGCAGCTCAGGCAGGTACCTTGCCAATGAAGAATGTGGCCGATGTGATCTTCACCTTTCAGTTGATGCTTGTTTTCTGGACCATGAACTCAACCACCAATCTGTCACACAATGCCAATGCCGTTGGTTGAAAGGCTAGACAATGCACAGGCATGTACGTGCAATTACAAACGTTTTTTCAGGGATGCATTTGCCTTCCTTCATGACTTCAGTGATTTAAAAAAATAAGGTTATCGCGCTTTGGTCAACATTTCACACTTCATTCACACAACACCTGAACCGGCGTCTCACCTGGCAGTTTGATGTACCGTCTAGATGTCAAGAGAGCTAAATAAAGCCACCTGGAAGCCACAGCCGCGCTTATAAGCAATCTAGGAAATTCAGCTACAGAACATCGCGATTACAACCCACTACAAACCAGGGGCAACGTCCACGGGTCAGGATGCGTTTTCGCGTTACGCCCGCGGAGTATTTTCAGGGGCGTTCAAGCTTAACTCGTCCGATATTTCAATTTACGCAATCCCTTAAGGACCCGTGGCGAAAACCACGCAACTGCTACATTCGTGGTACCAGAAGGTGTATGCAAAATCAAGCTAACGTAGGGGTCCTTATCTAGTTGCAGCGAATGAATGCGGCGTTTGTCCGCTAAAGCTGCTAATATCTCCGAAATTGCACGCTGTGAGCAGCATTGATATCTTATCTGTGAAAATCGGCGAGGAGACATAAGGTGAATCCAAGGTAATCCGATGGGCAAATCTGTAATTGTTTGGCTAAGGGTCTATTCCGGGCGTGAACGTGCTTAAGACCAACTACTATCAAGGCCTTCCACGAAAAGGAAGGTTGCATGTAGGCCATCAGCGGGCCCAGAAATGATCATTTGTGGTGTCTGTGGGTGGGGCTCCTGCAGCTGATCGACTGTCATTACCGTTTACATACGTATGCCTGTCTCCTGCATAGGCCTTCTTTCATAAATCTATTCCAAGCATTTTCATTGGATGGATTTCTGACACCAGAGCTATGCTAAGCAATGCTTGTTTTGTAAACCCTGACCTGTCATCTTATCATGAAAACTCAGTTCCATGGCAGTATGTTGTGGATCAAGTTCATCATGCTGCTATACTTGGTGCCTCTGCCCATGTCTGTCATCATTACCTAACCTTCAGTGGTGGCCACCATTGGCTACAAGCCATCCCAGCATGGTGTGAATACTTAGAACTGAAGAGAGCCAAACCCACCCACTGTTCCATGGGTTGAATGGGGGCAGGCACTCCTACTGGTTGAGCCGTGGGTGCGTAGAGGTGGATGCTGTAGCCTAATAGGCTGACTTGTTTGCTGATGTCATTAGTACTCAGGACAGAGAAAAGCTGTAATGCTATTTTCATGGTCCTGTGTCAGGCAGGCATGGTATGTCAGCTATGGAAGTCCCAATTTTGCATGGTTTGATCTGAGTTGTCATCTTTTGTCCTCAAACTAAATAGCTGGATGCCACTAGATAGTGCATTGTGGTAGCTTTCACCACATAATTTTATCTTGCTTGGTTTTTAAATGGTGGTGACATTGGGATCCTACTAGTACGCTTGATACTGGATACCATCAGAGAACTTTCATTAGAAACACTGTGGTGGTCTGTACCACTTTGTTCTATTTTGGTAAGGCATGAAGCAAACTCAGGTGGGGCTAATTGGACCCCCACCTGTGGTGGGGCAAAGTAGGTAAGAATCCCAGGTAGATCTAGTGTAGGGTTATGCCTGACAGGTTCTGGAGGTGAATTAAGTTCTCCATTCCAGCTGAAGAGTTGAGTCTGTAATGAGTTTAGAGATCAATGAAGCAATATCCACAGGCCTGCTGGCCCTGTAAACTTAAAGTGCTGTGTGATAAGGCGACATATGTGTATGTGTGATAAGGCAACATATGTATCAACTTTATGAATTGTGAGTTGGGGTATTCATTGAGACTGACTTTTTAAGTATTTGATACCTCTCCTTTCTCTTGATTTAAATGCAGCATCATGTCCTGCCATCAGCTCACACAATACTTAGCAGCCATGCAATGAGTGTGTCAGATGCCAGCCCTCTTTCTGGCCAGTTGTGTCATGTGCTGGTGAGCTGCATGGCATCTACCAGTCAGTCACTGGATGTGCCAGCTTGGAACCACCAGATGTGCCTTACCCCATGCTCTGCCAGCAGGTGGTGTGATGTACAGCAGCCGGGCCCTGCGTGTGGTGCGCTGGGGCCGCCACACCTGTCACTGCTTGGACGCTGCTGCCCAGCTGCACACCAAGCAGTTTGCACCCAAGAAAGCCCTGATCCTCACTAAGTTTTCAAGATATGAATTTGAGAAAAAGAGGCATGGAAACATTCCGGAGGTCAGTGTGATATTGACTGGATTGGTGGGGCCAGCTGATCAGTACTGTTGATGTTGATGAGTCTCCATTCTTTAGTCACAGGGGCTTGGATGCTACTGTGTGTTGACAGTGGTGGTCCTGTATGAACTGTGATAACAGACCGGTCATTGACTTAGGCGGAGCTGGAGAAGAGACTGAAGGAGCGTGGATCAGACTACAACATGCTGCTTTACCACCACTACCTGCATAAAGGCTGTGAGAACACTGTTGTGCAAGCTCTCCGCAACCAGAACATTGACACAAAGGTTGTTACAAGGTGAGCTGCAAACCTGGTGATCGTGATGCCTCAATGTAATGATTTGGATGGACATTGATACTTGCGAAGGAAATGAACAGGTACTTTCTGTCATTCATTCATGACTGCTGCAGGATTGTTTGATGTATGAATTTATGGAGGTGGTGTTAACTGGATTGAAAAATGTGGGTTAAGAAAAAGTAGGGTACCTGCAGTGCTAAGCCTTAAGCAGACATTGCATGTTGTGAAAGTTGGGAATTGCATGAGTCATGAGGCATGCAATGAAGATGATTTGACATCCATGTTAGCTTTAGCAGCTGGACACTTTAGCCTGGTAATTGATAAAGTTAAAACTGATGAAGAAGGCATGAATGCTTATGACTGATGATCATTTTGTTATCCTCAGGTTCGATTATAAATCCGATGTGATCGAGGAGTCTGACATCGTTTTCACAATGGGCGGCGATGGCACGTTCTTGCTCGGGGCGACGCGCATCCTGCATCCAAACAAGCCTATAGTGGGCATCAACAGCGACCCCACACGCAGCGAGGGCCACCTGCTGCTGCCCAAACGATACTCGGTCAACATCAAGGAGGCTGTTCAGAGGCTGCTCGCAGTAAGCTGAGCTATCATCGCGATTTATCGTTCAATGCGGGGCTGAAATACTCGGTCAGGAATCTCCAACACCATTGACTTGTTTGGCATTGACATTTTGACGAGATGTGACAACTGACGTGACATGCTGCGGCGTCACTGGACCAGCTGTCGCTTTCGTTGATAGGAAGACTTATGCTCAGCTAGATCGGGGCATCGTCGGTGGCAGAATGGACCTTTCTTTGCCTCATGGCTCGCTTTCATTTCCGTGACTTGATTCTGCCTGGCACAAACATGTGCTGACTCGGTGTTGGCACCTCCGTGTCAAGCGCCGTAGATGTGGGCCTTATACTGCCAACATACCGCTGGACCCTCGACACCGCATAAGCAGTTGACGCCCGCCTCTGCTCGCCCATCACGTGTGACCTTGACATGACGGACGGCTCCACCAGGGCAAGTTCCGCTGGCTGTTCCGCAAGCGGATCCGAATGACGCTGATCGGCCAGGACGTGTACAAGCCTCCGGTCGAGCTCCACAACCAGCAGCTGCTCAACCCCGAGTACAGGTCAGGCCCGGCGCCTGCGTCCCGGGGAACGGCGGTCTTGTCTGGTGGCCGAGCTGTGGGGCCTATCACTCAGTCGACAACACGTCCCCAAAACCGGTGAACCAGTCATATTTTGATACCAAGATAGCTTGAGAGGCGGAGGAGTAGTAATCGTCCTGTGATCGAATAAAAGACAATGTTTCCTCCCCAGCAAAGGTTTCCCTTTTCATAGTGTTGAACACTGGAGCACTGCCTGGTGAGGGAATCTTCATAAAACTGCGAGAAAAACCCATGTATGGGATGCACGTTGGGGCAAATTGGTACCCAGCTATCAAGCCAATGTGCTTTACCATTCATGTACACGTGCACTTTACTGTAGCTTGCATACAAAATAAATGAACTGATGTCTCCAGGTACATGTTTTCCTAGTGAATGATCAAACTATACATGACGCAGCGATGCAAAAAAAGTGCAATATGCAGGTAGGCAAATTGTCAGTTTATTTCCAAACGGTTTCTTGGTGATGCCCATTGGCAGGAGCCATCACTGGATGGGAGATCTCCACCTGAACCGGCCGAGTTACCCGCTTGCTGCTGTAGGGTAGTAGAAAGGTGGGATATCAACATACCCAGCTGGTTGAAACCATACAACTGATAGGGCTCTTTGCGCACGACACGCCCGCATCCATCTTGTTCTTGGCGCTGGTCTGTTCCCGTGGTCTGACGTAAATGATATTGAATTTGGTGGTCGTTGGTCTTGTCTGCTGTAAATAATCTGTTATTTCGTGGCCCATCATTTTGTTGCTGTTCGCAAGTGTTCCCTTTCTTCGTGCTTGCTCGCTGAGTATGTTGTCTCAATCGTGCCTTGTTTGTAGTGCCCGTCTCACATGTGAACTCGTCACGCATAGTTCGTATTTCTGGAATATCACCCCCTGCATTGAGGCGACGACAAGCGACGCTTACAATATCGGACTGTTGGAGACTATTGGAGACTATATTATTTTATATTATTGTTATTGGAGACTACATTCATTTTTAGCTATCGAAACTAGCCGACGAAAGGACCTTGGCGTGGGTGCAGTTGGTTAACCTTTAGCGCACTTGCTCTGGTGTTCTTATTAACGTGTTCGGTCCATTGTTTAGATTAAAAACAAAGAGAGACCCAGCTGATAAAAACAAAAAGTCAAATGCAACAAGCTTCAGTTCTCCGGTCCACCATCGATCTGTGCATCAGCAGCTGTATTTCATCATCAGACATAGATCACTGCAGATCAACAGCCATTTCAGCAGCAGTGTACAAAAAGCCGGTAGACACAGGACATTGCCTCAGGACCACAAGCCAATGCCCAGAACGGTGCAAAGCCAGCGTAGCGCGCTCCTTCCTCGGAAACGTCGCCAACCTGTGCCCTGACTGACGTTATTGATAACGATACCTTTACTTGGCTGATATACACCCTCATTGGCCTCTGCAAACTAATGTTAGAGGCAGTCTGTGATGCCTAGCAGCCTTCTACGTGGCATCAAAGTATCGCTGGCTTACCATATTGTGTGACCTGTGACCCACGCCATAGTGCAGTCATGAGCTGACAGCCATGTGGTATCGATGACGAGTTCGAATTGGCTGGCATGTTCACCTCTTTTGCACTCGTAGCTTCATTCATGTTAAGCTGTTGTTCGCAGTGTGTAAACAATGCCATGCAGACTAGAGCAAGTCGTCGTTGGCTTTGTTTTTTTTTCTTAACGCGTCGGCCCTGCCGGGGCAGCTGCGTTGGGTGAGACCGGCACCATGACTTTATGAATTATGTGCAAGCAGCGTTGCTGCACTGACCGCGAACATGACCTGCGGCCGCATGAGTTTCTTCGATCCATCTAACCTCTATACGCCGGTGCGGCTTCTGAACCCGGCCGTCTATGGACAGGTACCTGGACATGGACTGGTCGAACGCCTCCCTGCCCACCAGCTACATGGAGTCCAGCACCATGGTGGAGCCGCGCGGCATCACCTACGCCAAGCAGGCGCGCGTGCTGCCCGTGCTGGCGCTCAACGAGGTAAGCCTGACGCGTCAGAGCGTGGATCAGGCGCACCCCAGCGCGACGGGTCATGGGTCCCCATGTGCCGGGCCGCGCCATGCATGTGAGCAGGCTGCTCGTAACGGCCGAGTGGTGGTGAACCATATCGCGTTCGCGTCGAGCGGATTTTCGCGAGGCTGGAAGAAGTCTTGGTCGTGTCGAAATATGTTCCGTGCTGTTGCGTGCAACCAACGCCAGTTTGACTTGCAACACCTGCAGTACCTCCCGCAGAAGGGTAGAATAGTCTTTTGTGCAGGACATTAGTGGTGGTATTTGAAGTATAATGCGTTACCCGCTGTTTCGCGGAGAATGTGCTAGTTAGTGCGCAGATTTCCGAGAGGCTGGTAGTCATCTAATATCTGGATGGATCCAACTGACCAGAATAGCAGTATTGAGGCGCCCTGCTGTGAGAAACCCAAGTTCCGACTGTGAGCCTCTGGCCACGACCTCCGCCTCCCTGAGGCACCGCCAGCCGAGGCCCCGGATGACTGACCAGACCCGTTCTCTGCCGATGGTGGTTTATGGCCATGTATCTCCACGACATAATTTTCGCAGCAGTTGGCAAGGCTGTCTCCCTAAATGTGCGTCGTGAAAACTGTAGACTAGACGCGTCTGTTATTGAAAATTTTGAATGGTTTGTCCGGCTCAAGCAGTTTTTTATGTTTCACAGTCTCACGTGCCGATACGCCTCCTAAGGGCCTCCCGGTGTCTGGTTATCAGGACATTTCCGGCCATGTTGAGCTCCTGGTGTAACCCAGTTGCGGCCCGCCTGCTCCCGTCCGGCAGGTGTTCATCGCCGAGTGTCTCTCGGCTCGCGTCTCCTACTACGAGATGTCGATCGACGGCGGACCGCAGTTCAAGCAGAAGAGCTCCGGGCTGTGCGTCTCCACCGGCACTGGCTCCACCTCGTGGACCTACAACATCAACAAGCTGACGCCGCAGGTGGTCAGCCAGGTAACCAGTGCTGGACGACTACGGTAGATCCTAGATCCGGTTTTTTGGATTGCTAGCATCAGCGTTATGGTATCGCGTGGTCGAAACTAATTCTAAACGCGTCTCTGACTCACCCCAAACTGTTTCACGGAATGATTGAGACGAGCCGTCAGTGTTACAGATGGACTGATCGTTCGGACTGTCGTCCTGGGCAGGTGTGTTAGTGTGCATACGATGTTTCGGCTAGGCAATTTTCCCGACGCCTTTAGACAGTAATGAGTTCGGAGAAGGATCTGAATGAGGGGTCCTAAGTGTCGTATAATAATATGCCGGCTTCGGCACACTTTTCATAACTAGGCCCATTTTACCACTAGGGTTCACTTGCTTCGTTTTTGTTCGCTGGCGGGAGGCAAGGATCAAAATCATTTGATGAGACTCGGTGAAATTAACATGCACACGATTTAGGCCCAATTTTTACCATTGATGCTGATGTCGGTGTGTTGAGTTCTTTGCATTTTGTAGGGAACAGTGCTGAGACGGGCAACATAAATACATTATCAGATACCACAGCATTTCAGTGACCGCATCTGTACCATTTGTTTGTCAAGTGTAACGACGCCCGTGCGTCAAACAGCTAAAATTATTTTGTTTTGTCTTCGATATTTTGCTCGATATGTTACTTGTCTTTTGGTGTCGACCTTTGGCGTCGGCGTTCATAGTGTCGATCTTTTGCGTACCGGTGTTTTGCGGAATCAATATTTTGCGCATCGATATTTTGTGGTACTGTTTGCCCTTCGATATTTAGGGCATCGATATTTCATCATCAAATTGCTGACAGCGGACCCATACGCGCGCTACAATGTTCAGGCGGAGGATGGAATCCCGTCCCCACCACACGTTTCAGTTGTGTTGAGATAGAAAAAGAGTGAATTTGGTTGCTGACTATGGTCCATGTAAAGGGAATGTTCCAATTTTGAAGATATTGAGGCGGGCATATATGATGAAATAAGCTCGCTTCTACCTGTATGCTTCTAGGCGGAAAAGACTGCTTCTGACAACAAAATGTCTTTATTTGGTAAATACGCTCCTCAATATGTTTTTGATGGCGTCGTGAAACTCTGCATGGCGTTGAGGTGTTGCGAAACAAGCCGCGTGAAATTGCCACTCGAGCACTCGCACGTAGTACTTCAATTCGCCGAGAGATGTCAGAGACGGTGCCGGAAGTCCTCGCTGAGCCAAATATCGTTATGGACTCGTGTTTTGACCCTTTCTCTGGGCGTCCCGGCATGTTTATCCGTGAGTGTAAGAAGTTTGACTTGTGAATACGCGGTTATGGCGTCATTCGTAAGTTATTTGATTGCAAGTCTTTGTTTCCGTAATAACTAGCAGTCGTGTCCAGCTTCTTATATTGTGTAGCACAAAGCGTGGTTCGTAGTTGAGACTGGTGCAGCTTGCCCGCATTGATTGAGAGCCAAATAGTCTTGTTGACCTGGAATACCGAATGGGTTATGGGGTGGTAGGATTCGAATAGCGCTGCTATGGCGTCATGCGTGCCGGAATGACTTTGAAATAGTCTGCACATCTTTGCGAGCGCGTAGCTCAGAAACTAAATTGATCTAGGTTTTAAGAAGGACAAGCCTGTGAACTGCACCGAATGATCTTCTCAATAGCTTTTTTAGTTCAAGAACCCATACAAATGTAGAGCATTGCCTTTAAATAAGTTCACTCATATAATTATATTATTATTTGTCATACATGTATATATATATATATATATATATATATATATATATATATATATATATATATATATATATATAATGCACTCCACTAGGGGGCGTGACAATAAGAGGCTGCCGTTCTTAGACGTACAAACCGAGAAAACAACAGGTTCGGGATGTAGTACCTGAGAACAACAACCAGTCGCTCCTGAAATTCCAGGTGCATCACCTTGACATTGCTAAGAAGGGTGGCATAAGTTGTCTCCAACATGGCTCAGATGCCATTAGCAATGATGGCGCAATTAGGAGGGAAATAAGCCACGTAACCGAACCGTTCCACAGGAGCAAGTACCCAACAGGCTTCATAGGCTTGTAGTCTTAAGAGCACGTTCAACGAGCATGGAAGCGAGGGGGAAGGGAAGGGAAAATCCACACCATCAGTATCCTTACCTTACGATGACTTGTCAGAGAAACAGGTCGTTCTCTGTCGGTCAGACTGGACGAGTACAGAGGCAACCATCCGGGGTGAGACAGGTCTGGTGTAGCGGGGCGTGCATGGTCAGACGGTCGCCGCCGCTTCGAAGTCGCTGGCACTCCATAAAATGATGCGCGGCATCGTGCGTCGCGTTCCCGCTCCACAATAAAAGACTAAAAATAGTTTGCGGAAAATCCCCGAACACCCAGGAAATAATATTATTTTTAAGGAAACACAACGCACGCTGTCACGCACTTTTTACGGAGCGCCGGCGACTGCGGAGGCTCCATCAGCGCTCAGGGATTTTTGCGCAACAGGGGTTGGAGCTAGGGGTCCCCATATGGTAGTGGGCTAACCACTCGGCCATTACGAGATGAATAGGTAAGTTCTATGGCCCAAGTATTGCTCTTCCTAGCTATTTCAGTGGCAGAAACCTAGACTCGTAATGAGAATTCCTCTGTTGAAATCCCCGCAATGCCGAGGAGAAAATTTGGATTGTGACGCGTACTTGGCTGGATGTGAAGACACCACGCAGTCCGTCTCAGAACTCAACGTAACGCCGGCAAACGGCCAGAACGCACCAGACGAGAGCGGTAGCCCGAACAGTTACTTCAACAATCGAATGCAACAACGAAACGGAGCGGAACAGAACATGCCCCCCCCTCCCCCCCCCCCCCCCCCCGCTCCCACGGCCACCTCCCACCTTTTCACATGTCATTGCGTTATGTAGTGTCATTGCGGTGCGCGGCCCGCCGTTTTTCAGACCGATTTGGTGCATTTGATGGCCCAACACGCAATAAACCATCTCAGTTGCCAGGTACCTGGTGTCTGGAAACACTGAGCACCTTGATTCTGGCCTGTTTCAGCTGATGAATGCCCTGAAGCACGAGACCGGCCTGGAGCTGGACTCCAAGGACGAGGCGCTGGTCGGTCGCGTCACAGACCGCGTGAACCAGGTGCTCATCTTCGGGCCCGGTGAGTCTGCAGACCGGCGGACGCGGGTGCACACTGATGGCGTGAGCGCACGGGCGATGGACCGCCGCGCCGATGCCGCTCGATGAACGGCCACGCCCACTCTGGGCCGCTGAGAATGGCCGTGCGGTCCCGCCGGCGCGGGCTGGCTCCTCACGACCGGCTGTTGCATTGTACTGCCGTGAAGTTCGAAACGCGTGGTGCTGGACTCAAATGGCCTTAGTAGTTTTGTAGAATGCATTGTCTTGCACCCAGCGATGCAGCATTAGCATGGTATTCTTTGCGCGTCATGCGCGACAACCTAACAGCTGCCGTTGGGCTAGAAACCATGGGTCGCCGTCATCTGGATGGTATAACGCGGCATGAACCGTGTGACTAGAGTGCAAATCCTACACAGAGTGGATGTACGTGACGTACCAACCGCTATCGGCCATACTCCGCAATACGTGACCCCCCATGACCTCTTCACAGAGGAGAACCGCATGTGCTACACGATCCGTGACCCGGTCATGTCGGCGCCGCGTTCGGCGGCCGAGAAGCGGCCCCGCGGCCTGGCGCGCCGGCTGGAGGTCCGCTCGCGCTGCTTCGACGCCAACCTCGTGGTCGACGGCGGCCTCTCGTTCCCCTTCAACGACGGCACCGTGGCCATCTTGGACATCCACGACGATGACGCGCTGCGCACGGTCGTCCTGGACGACTGACGCGGCGCTCCGCGTGACCGGGTGCGCGGCGCGGCGGCACCGCCCCGGGACGGGGCGGCTTGGCGGAGACCGCTCCGCTGGGTCGGGCGGCCAGCGGCAGGCGGCCGCCGACGGTCAGCAACCGCTGGCTCTTGTTACACGGTGAATTTGGCCTGTGTGGCCGTTCAGGACGCCTGTTTTGTTTGGAGGACTGTTTGCAGCGGAGGAGCACGTTAGCGCGTTGCTGCCCTCGGTGAAATATGCACGCGGCTGGTGCGTCGTCGGTGTGCAGCCGTCATTGGCGATTGATTGGAGGCGCACAGGGGCGTGTCCCGCTATTGACCGGGTCCGCAGTGACACGGCGGACGGGCCGGACGAGCTGCCCCACCGTCCAGCAGCGCGGAGAGGCCGCGGGGCCGACCCAGTGATCCAATGCCTGCCGGGCAACCCGCTTAAAACAGCAGGACCTCGAGCATCACAATTCATTCATGTTAGGCACGGGCAGGGAGGTGACAAGCGCTTCCAATGCTTGTGTATTGTTTATCAGGATGCCGTGTTACGAGCGTCTGTCTGTGACTTCTCTGGGATTTCTACCCCCGAATATGTTTGCCACATCAGGGTATGAACGTGGGCATGTTTAATAACAAATATATGCAGAACTTTTGTTGAGTCGGTCACATGAGCACACGATATTGAAACGCGATAACTGACGGGAACTGAAAACGTCTGCAGTAGCACTCGACGTCGGAAGGAGTGTCCCCATCGGGCGTTATGTTCAAGGTTATTTATAAATCACCTGTTTCGTTCCATGTTCTGATGGTCTCTCGCAAACTTTGTCCAGCGAAGTCACGGCAGTAGAAAGCCAGTGGTGATTACCGCCGTCTTGTTCCTTTTTAGAACAACTAGCTTCACAAAACAGCCGCGGGCGTGTTTGTGTATGTTCACGTCACGCTTGCCACCGAAAAAGGCGAGTGCGCACCGTATATTACGTGACAATGTAAACACAGATGGCACACACCTCCAACGGCAAGTGACTAGAAGCGACCGTTCGGGACCCACGTGAAGCTGAAGTCCACACCAAGCGCGGCCTTCGCATGGCAGCGCTCGCCTCCACCGAGAGCTGTCAAGTGACGTGCCTCGCTGATTTCGTGTCGTCGCTAGGCAACGACACCTGCATCGCTTGCCATTTACAAACGTCATGCGCCAAAACCAAAACGTGCGCGGCCATTCATTGACCTAAGCTTGCCTACCCATGCATGAGGTGAGTTGGGGGCATGTGAGGTGCCTTGTTACAGCATGGTACGTAGCCCGGTCGCTGGGTGCAGCTCGTAATGAAAGACAGTTACTGGGGTGCGAATGGAAAACAGATCCGTTACATTTCCAGCCGGTGCCAATCCGAACAGATACATTTGATACATTGGATACACCTCCCCATGAATGACCCACAACTACGCGACGAAGCCTCCAGACACCACGGGGCTGTTATGACGGCATTGACGACGCCTAAATTTTCGGCCCGAGGGACGCCCAATACAGGAGCAAATAGTCCTTTGTTTCGTGTTTTGAGGATCACGACTATGACAAACAACTGATCGGTAGAACCGCGAAGCTCAAATTACAAGGTACATCATGAAACATTGATAATCTGATTTCCGAACACCTCGGTCGGTACACCGTATACGTGTTCCTGCGGACCCCAAGTAAGCCTAGCTCACATCTCACCAATGAGTTCGCAAGGCAAGACAAAGACGGAGTTACTTCAAACACGCGTTAAGGGCACTGGGAATCATTACGAGGCTCCGACCAATGACAGCCCTTACCCGGGAGGTCCGTATAGCTGACACGGAAATCATCGCATGGCAATGACCATCGGTTCCTGGCCGTGATCTCACATTCTCGTATAGCGCACCAAACGCACATGGGTGACGCCACTCATCCAAGAGTTGATAAAAGTAATCGGAATATCTCTGTGGCGAATGATATCGGCCACAGAGCTTGTCACCTCGAACCAAATTTAACTGTGGCGTCTGTGATCTCAGCATGCAAAAACGGCACCACTTAGTGGGAGGTACGAAATACCGTGCCTAGCATACACGACAACAGATGACAATACATATTGGAGCATCTCTATAAGTCAAACGCCTACGGGCTTCAAGGGGTGATGCCCGCTGCTCGAACGGTGATTGACAGGCTTGTGCTTAACTCTGGGTTGAGTCAAACTCGACTCCGCAATGACCCGCACTTTTGTGTAATGCAGTTGGATTCCATTCTTCGCAAAAACTTAGGTCGAGCTTGGAGATCAGAAAACCGCATTATACAACAATTCACGAACGGACTGAAGCCACAGTATAATTTACGGCACGTTCTTATTATGAGAGCTCTTGGGTGAGAGGTAGGTTAAATAGCCTGTGCCCATGAAGTGATGGAAAAAGACCAAAAATTCAACACACCTCGCATTGGAGCTCCCTCAGGAATAAGCATCGAACACAGACATGTGTTCACTACACCAATGAGTCGAACTGGATGCTTAGAGCGGAACTGAGCGCGAGCCTGATGACTAGAGACGGTGATATGTGACCTGATCACATGCCATAGTAAGGCGTGACTTGTAGCAGCCTGAGCCGTTCACGGACCGCAGGAGCGTGCATGGCTGCGGTGACGGGTCTCGCCGCCACCGCCGAACCCGCAGCGGGCACAGCACTACGCCGGCCCGGCGAGCGGACAGCGCGCATGCGCGGCCAGCGCCGCCGCTTGCGGCCGGCCCGGCCCGGACGAGCCCGGATCGGAGTCGGGGCGGCTCGGCGAGCCAGGCCCATCCGCCGCGACGGCCGCCGCCGCCGCCCTCGCCGCTCTACGCCTCCTTATCTTTCTCTTGAGGCGGGTCATTGCTGAAACGGCGGAGACATGGTGACACACACATCCATGAACGAGCAGCCCCGGCGTCGCCCGCCCAATATGGAAGTCCGACTCCACCCGCGCGTCACGAACCGACGCGCAACCCTCAGATCCTGCGGAGTATTCTCCATGCGCGGCACACTCCTGCCTTGTGGGTGCGCGTCAAACTGTGTATCACGCAATCCATACAAAACGGTACGTCTGAAACAAGCCAGTCACAAAATACGCCTTTCAACTTAAGTGCGCCCAAATGAAACCATTTCTATGGCAACAACAGCATACATACGTACGTACTTGAGTGTCAAATAAAAAAGGCATGCCACTTACTCATGATAGTATGGTACAAAAGTTTCATATTGTTCTGGTGTTCACTGAAATGTGCACGGGGCCTGGAACAGGTGACGATTTGTAAAACAGTATCTGAGACACATGTCAAGAAATAATAATGCAGCGAGCTCTGGGGGTAGTGAGCCGCCACGTGCGGTGCCAGGAACGCAAAACGGATTACACCACTGGCGGTGCGGTCCACGCGGCCCACCCAGCACGCAGCCGGCTGGCGCGCGACAGGTCGGGTCTCTGACCTGTCCCCGTCGTCCCCGGTCGACTCGGACGCGCCTGGTGGAGCCGGATCCTGCTGCCCAAACGGCTCTCCCAGCTCCGCAACCTCACCAGACAGGTAGCGCCAGCAGTAGCAGACGAGACGCTGCCGAAACACGGACACCGTCAGCCCCCAGCCGGCCAACCTCAACGCGCCCCAGCGTCACCGGAGCCGGGATCTGGTCGCGTCCAGCGTCACCGGAGCCGGGACCCGGCCGCGACGCAGCGTCACCGGCGCCGGCCGTGCTGAGAGGCTGAGCCCGGCCGCCGCCGGTATTGCCGGACAGTCTGATACTTAACCGCGTCGGGTCCGTCATTTCGCCAGCGCTGGACGTGTCGCCGGGTGACCCGACCGCGCACACTGTGCGCGGTGCCTGACAGCCGGTCTGGTGGCAGGTCTGCAGACTGAGCAGGATCGCGTACCCAGTAGTGGCGGAGGTTGACGGCGGCCAGCATCCACAGCAGGACGTGCACCACAAGACCGACGACCACCACGTTGTCGGGCAACGGCTTCAGCAGGCTGGGCCCCAGCAGCTGGCTGTACCAGTACGTCCGCGTCAGGAACCTGGGCGGATCGCGGCCGAGTGTCAGCACCGCCGGCCGTACCAGCTGCTGGGTGGGGCCGGGGGAGCACTGACCATCACGATCGCTCGTCAGAGAGCACGAGTAGGACGCGCTTGAACGGGACGCGGCTAGAACAGATCGGTCTACAGACTGGGGACAATATGTGCACTGAGCAGCAGCCCACAACTGAGGAGTGATTGTTGCCTGCTGCGGCATCGTTTTGAAGGGACTATTGGAAGCCGAACGGCAATCCCCAGTCGCTTTGTTTCATTCGATATGACGAAACTGCAATGACTGCAAAACTCGATCTCCGACAACACACAAGCGGCGCCGCTGACCGGCCGCAGCCCGCTGCTATCAGGGGGCACCAACACCACGACAGGCCGTCGCCGCGGAGGCGACTGACCAGAGCGGCAGCAGCGCCATCAGGCAGAAGCCAGCCAGCGCCTGGCGCGCGGGCAGAGGAGCGCCGCGCCGTCCTAGCGCCAGGCGCAGCAGACCCAGCGGCACGTCCGGCAGGTGGTGCAGGATCAGCACCCACAGCAGCAGGTGCGGCAGCCTGTCGGGCGGACGTACGGCGGCGTCAGCGCTGGCGGGCCCCGACAGCGCCTGCCGGGCCACACGGAGACGGTCCCGCCGCAGCGACAGAGCGGCCCGGTGCCATCGCACGCGGGACGGTGTCGCCGCCTGGTGCTGCGCGCCGCGCTGATCTTCCACCGATCGCTGGTGGCAGCGGTAGGCCTTGGCTGGCCGGGAGCATCCACTCACCCGGCGAACGCGGCCCGGAAGCATCCACACACCCGGCGAACGCGGCCCGAGAACATCCACTCACCCGGCGAACGCGGCCAGCGCCACGATGGCCAGTAGTAGGGTGCAGGGTGCGGCCAGCACGCCGCCGTACAGGCCGGGCGGCACCAGCCAGTAGAGCGAGCTGCAGACGGACAGCGCGGCCAGCGCCCAGTGCAGCGGGCTCAGCTCACCACCTGGCCACGGCACCGACATGGTCAGCGACGCACACGACCAACGCAGCTGGCGTGGAACAGCTGCTCTTGAGCTAATCTGTCACGGTATTCAAAATGGCCTGTGCTGGAATGACTGCCATCTGGTTCATAGGCATGCCTGCCAGTAATCACGCAGCATACAAAACACCTTACATGGTACCTATGCAAACAGACGCCGTATTCTGCATGCGGATCTTCCTCAAGTTTATTTAAAACAGCCTAACTACAACTTGGAAGTGCATATTACACGGGGTGGCACAGCTGAATTCCATATTTATTTGTAGCATTTTGATCCAGTGTCATATTCTGCGCGACTTGGCTTTTTGATGGTTTTGGAGATAGCAATTAACCAGTGGCCAAAATCATCTTGTCGTTGCCGTTTAGCGAAGCTGTTTTGCGCTATTGTCCTATGACGAGGTCAGCTATATGCCGTCTTTGGCAGACATATCCTTTTCTGACACAAACCATGGCAAATAGACTGAAATGATGCTCAGTGAAGCCACACATAAGGCACGAAAGCCTAAAAACATAATCGCATGTGTTGCATTCGATCGTTGGCACGGTATTTTCTACGTTTTCTGAGCCTAAGGTACCTGAATACACAGGCGCGGCCAGGGGTGTAACATCCTATTCAATTAGGGGCCACAGTCCCCCCCCCCCCTTTTCCCCAATTGGGAAGTGAAAGTGGTCCAAACTCGAGGAGAAACACGTTTTTGTGCATTTTGGTGGCAGTTTTAGCCATTCTTTTGCTGCTCGACCCCCTCCCCCCTCCTACTTCGCTCATGAGCCCTCCTAGTGAGGGTTTTTCGGAGCACCAGGCCGAGGCCTGCTCAAACCGAGCAGTTTTCTGTGGCGGGCGGTCACAATCGCCATCGCAGACCTCCTGAACAGACCTCCTGACCTCCTGAATCCGGACGGTCGTGCACAGCCCGGAGCTCACCGAGCTGTCGGATGAGGAGCTGCTGGAGGAGCTGACCGAGCAGGAGGTGTGAGAGGTCATGCGCCCGCCATCCCGCCGTCCCGGCCTGGGCCCCAGCCTCCTGGTCCGACTGCGATTTAGAGGACTTAGACTCCCGCGGGCCATCCACTGCGGATACCTCATGGTCTTGGTAAAGGACCGGACCAGCCGGGCCACGCACCCAACCTGCGGCCGCTGTGCCAATGCCCACCACACGGGAGTTTTACGCGGAAAACCCGCGCTGCGCCACTTGCGAAGGCCCGCACGCAGCTTGGGACCGCCGCGCCTGTCCCACTTGGCGTATGCAGCGCGAAGCGCCGACGAAGCGCCAGCAGCAGGCAGCGGCGGCGACCCATGCACCCGACCAATTGGAGCTCCACTCTCAGGAGTGGCCCACGCCGCAGGAGGCGTACCCTCGCCTTCCCCTCTGACACCAACTCCACAGCAGCGCCCCTCCCTCCTCTTCGACCTCTTGAGGAGCCCGAGATGCCGCGCCAGCGCTGTGCCACAGCGCAGCGCTCCCCCTCACCACGCCGCTCCTCCTCCCCAGCAGGTCAGCCGCGTCTGGCGCGGAGTACGATCGAGCCCGCGTCGACCGACCCCGTTGAGGCGAACTCAGTGGCTGCGAACCCCCCCTGAGGAGGGACCCGCCCCACCACACTCGGAGAGCCTCTCTCTCGCTCCAACACGTCGGTGTTGGTCCCCCCCCCCCCCTCCCAACCCGTACCGGCGTTCCATGAAATCCCGTCCGATGCCCCAGCCGCCGGGCTCCTGACACCAAAGTTTCGGGCCAGTCTCCTACTCCATCGTCGAGCCCGATGAGTTACGCGCCCCTGCCGTAGCTCCCCTCCATTCCCCCTCTCTTTCTCTCCGTCGCTCCGCTAGATGGTGTCCCCCCCCCCCCTTCCTAAATGAATCCCCAGTTCGGTAATTCTTTTCTCCAACGGAATACGACATCTCTGGCATCCCATTCGGCAGAATTCAAGGAATGTACGATCAAAAATAAGCCATTGATAACCGCTATTCGAGAGACCATATTTGAGGACTCGGATTATTTTAATTAAAACTTTAATATCAACGGTTACTGCCTCTACACGCGTAATGTAAAGAAATCCCCCGAATCGAAATTAAGAAAATCTAATCGCAACGCAGTGAAACCTTTGCGACGTGCACCACACCCAATTGGAATACAGCCGTGATTATCCATCCCACCACACACTACGTCCCGACTTACTTTTCCAGACGTCGGCCGC